CGCCACGAGGAACGCCTGCTGCTCCCCTCACTGCATCACCTCTGCGACCAGGACCTCAGGGCAGCGCGTAGGCCGGGGGGAGCGGTGCTCGCGCGGTAGGTCTTTGATGTGGACAGAAAACCAAGGCTTAGAATTGCCCTTTAAAAGTCCAGTCTTCCCGGGAAGGGAGGCCCCACAGGTGAGGCTGTGGGCATCCCCGGCCGAGAACGGGATGAGTGTGAAACGTGGCTGTCCCGAGAGTGCTGATCATCGGCTTCTCAGGCCCATTCAGAGGGCTCTGTTCGGTTGGGCACAAACCCTCCCAAGAGGGCAGGTGGCACTGAGTCCAGCAGCTGACCGCGAAGGGGTCGCCAGCTTCCTCCTTGACCTGTCTGCCCAGGCTGTGTCTCCGGCAGGAGCCCGAGCCCCTGGTCCCCTCGAGGTCATCAGAGGGAGGACAGCGTGGAGAGGGGTCTCCACCAACCACCTGGGCCCTGGCCTGCCCTCACGGCACAATCCAGTGCCGTGACCCCCACCCATGGCAGCTCCTTCCAGGGGAGGGGCCTAGGAATCAACTTCAAGCCACTCCAGACCCAGCCCCACACCGTTGTGTGGAGAACACCAACACCAACAAGGGAGAAACAGGTTGGAGGGCGTCTGGCTCAAGGGCCAGGAGTGGGAGGTCAGTAAATGAGAGTGCTGGGGGTCGTCTCAGGCCCCAGCCCAGGCAGGGGGACCTTCACCGGCTTCTTTCTGGTTTTGAAGGCCAGGGCTCCATCGGGGCTCCCTCCTGTGGGCATGGTTTCAGATACTTCAATAACAGTATTTTGAAGGGAAAGAAGCCTTCTGGGATCCATTTGTGACACCGACCAGAAAGCTTAGCCCCCCTCGGGGGACACGCCAGAACTCCAGAGCTGTGAGCGTATGAGATGTCTGTGTGTCTACTCTCGGCTGACTTTCTGGAGAACAGAGGGTATTTATTTTAAGAGTCAAAAAAGATGTTTTGACCAACCCCACTTAGCTCAATCCTGGCACCGAGACCCGGGAGAGAAGAGAAATGCCGGAGGTCAAACCTCCCCTTTTTTGGCTAAAATGCTTAATCAAAACACACCTAATACTTATGCTGGGGTGTGGAGGTGGGGTCGGGAGCAGCCCCTGCTACTGCCAACAGCCGACGGGCCGGCAACGCGCGCGGAGGCTCAGCTAGCAAAATAAAGAGGTTTTTCAGCAAAGCGGCAGCCTTGGCGGGAAGGCCTGGGCTGAGAGGCTCCAGGAGGGGTGCGTCCGGTGGGTTCTCACCCAAGGTCAGTGGTGGGTGAATAGCCGATGATGATGAGGGTGCCTGCCAAGGCGGGCTGTTAAACAGGGCAGGTAGAGAGAAGCTGCTGGAACGGGCCTCCCAGAACCAGACTCAGACCTCCGCTCTGAGAGGGGCAGTCCTGTCTTCGAAGTCCTGCAGGGCTTCTTCCCTCTCTGCATGACGTGAAGGGGTGGGGGCCTCCTCAGGGTCACCTGTGGTCCTGCGGCTGGGCTTCCGGGTGGCCACACTGCAGCCGGAATGGGGCCGAGGACCCGGCTGGGGAGTGGTGCAAGACCCTGGGCCCACCCAGCCCTGCTCTGCATGGATGCGCTCCGGTCCGTCTGGGCTCTCGCTCCGTGTGCCATGCATAGCAACCTGACCTATTAGGGACAGTGTGGTCTGAATGCCTGTCTCCATGTCCCCATCTGACCACAGGCTCCTGGATAGGTGGCCACCATCTCTGAGCCGGTGCACAGACCTCAAGGGACTCTTCCCAGAATGCAGAGAAGACCCTCGAGGCCGTGTGACAGGTGGATTTCCTGGGATGCTCCATCCCGTTTGGCCACTCTTAGCCTCAGACGAAAGGCAGGGGTTCTGGCCACCCTCCGCCCAAGGCTTGTGGAACATGGTGGTCCTGGACAGAGGCTGGCTGTGTAAGGGACAACGAAGCTCTGGGGAGCGAGGCTGCACCCCACCTGCAAGGTGTGATGGAGAATGGCCAGGCTCTCCTCGGAAAGGCTCTCCTGCTGGTGTTTGATGCAGTGCTTCTGGTTGAACCAGGAGTGGCCCATGCTGGTCAGGGCCAGCTGGTCAGGTGCCTCAGATGCTGGTCAGGGAGCCCACGGGACCGAGACTTCCACACTGCAGGCACATGGTCCGTGCCACCTTCAGAGACAGAGGCTGCCATGCGCTGTCTGGGGGCCGGAGCCACGGGCCCCCAGCTGCCTCTCTCTGCAGGCTGGGCCTCTGCCCTGGACACTCCCCACTGGGGAGCAGGGAGGACAGAAGATCAGGGCCACCCTCCTGTGGGCTGACAGAGCGGCTTCCTTGTCTTCCCCGGAGCTCTCCATGACCTACCGCCTGGGAGAAGAGAGCTGGGTGTCGGGCCTGAGCTCCCAGCAACACACCCTCTTCCTCACCAGGAAGCAGACAGGGCCTCCTTGCTAATGTCCAACCAGAGGGCAGCCAATGCCCACTTGCAGCCCCGCCCCCGCCTCTGGGGCCAGGATGGGTGTGCGAGGGGGGAGCTGTGAGTCGGCCCTGGCCCCCGGGAACACCACATTGCTGATGGGGCCTCGGCATCCATCTGCTGCTGGAGGCTCAGCTGCAGCATGAACCACAAGGAAGCACCCCAACTTTCTTCTGTACTCTAGGGGAGCCCCAGGGCCGTGCCCTGGGCTGGAGCCAAACTAGGCGGGATTCCACCCAAAATCGAGCTCAGGGCTTTGCCTTCAGCACAGCCTCGGGTGCCTCAGGCAGGCCACAGCCCTCCGAGCCTCTGTCGCCTTCCAGAAGCCTGAAGTCAGCGCTCGGGCTGCAGGTTAGAAACGTGCGCGGACTCTGCGCAGGGGCGGATGCAAGCTGGAGAAGGCCAGCTTGCAAACGGATCCTCAACGAGAGTCGCGTGCTGGCCTTGACAGAGGCAGCACGCTCTCCCTGTCTTTGCGGGGCGACCGCAAGGTGTCTGCACCTCGGTCCAGAGGGGACACGGCTCGGGGCTCAGGAGCTCCTAGGAACGGGCACGGGGCGCTCTCCTCCCATGGTCGTGGGCGGTGCCCCGGGCACTACACTCCTCAAAAACTTAAAGCGCAGTGTTGTCCTTCTGGATCAAGCTGCCCCGTCCATGAGGGGCAGGTCCTTCCGGTCCCAGGGACCCCGTAACCCAAGCATGAGCCTCCCGTCCTGCTGGCTGGCCGTGTCCGGGCGCAGGCCTGGGCAGCCCCTCGCGGGAGGGTAGACCCCATCTCTGGCCTTTGGGCGTCGGTGAGCACGGCCCCTTTCTGGAAGCCACAGCTCGGCTGAGATCCAGGCGGTCGGCCTCGTTCTCTCTTCCCCTCTGCCCGTCGACCGAGCCACCAACCAGCATTCCTGGCTCTGGATTCGGAGTGGAGAGCAGACACACGAGAGAGTAGAAACACAGGCCCTGCTGCTGGCCAGACTCGGCCCCCAGCATCGGGGTTGACCTCCCACGGGCCCCTCCAGCCCGGCCCGCGGATGACCTGGCCCCTCGCGGATGCCCCGGGAGGCCTCCACGGTCTCCGTGGTGCTCACCTTCTCTGACTCGTTCCTTTCGTACTTATGACCACCTTCCAAACCACAATTTCAGACTCTATTAGAAGAAACATAAAATCCCCAACTGTTTAGAATTCTCAACATTTAAAAGTATGACTTATTGTTGTTACAGCTGAGCCGGGCAGACGTGCGCCCAGGCCCCTCACCCGACCTGCGTGGGCATGGCAGGGCACTCTGCACTCCTGGCTGGTAATTTGGAAGAGCGATAGTGTAGTTTTAAGGGGAGGGCAAATAAAACCCCTGGATTTGACACCATTTCTCGTGTTGTTTTTTCAAATATTAGTTTCCAACTCAGTTTCTATTCTTATGGAAACGATGTTACAATTTATATATGTGTCTATGCCCGGCATTTGTGATCCAGAGGGGGAAATCCCATTTATACAGCTAATTTGTCAGTTTGCTTAGCTTAGAAAGCACTCTGGGACCCGTCCCTGAAATGCCGTCTCTCTGGAGGGCAGCTCGGTGGTTTTTAAGAGGAGTCACCAGGCAGGCGAAATTCTACAGCTCTGCAAAGCCGAGCTGAGAAAAGCCCCGAGTCAGAATTGTCGGGTGGGAGAAAGACCCAGAACGGCTGGTACTTTCTCTCCTCGCTAACCCGAGCCCGTGTTGGCGGCAGAGGGAAGGGCCGGAGCTCCTGGCACAGCCGTAGGAGCCCCCCGCCGCGGCTGGAGGGGCCGGTCATCACTGGCCACCCTAGGGTGCTTCTCTGCCGCGGGCACTGCTGGGCTCTGCCTTCGCCTGATTTCCTTTGAGAAGCTTCCTCCAAAAACCACATCCACTTCCCAGGGGCCTGGGATAAAGAGCAAGTTAGCATGCTGCCCCCTCTGCTCTGCCCCAGGAGAAGCAGCGGAGAGATGGGGTCCAGGCTCAGCCCCGCCAGCCCACCTCCGCCCTCTGCCCCTGCCTCCTCCACTGCGGCTCCCTGTGCGGTGAATCGGGCTGCTCAGCCCGGCTTTGCCTCCCCAGGTAGACTGCAAGCCCCACGCGGGCTGCACGGTGCCCAAAGCCCTCCCGCTCACCCTGCAGGGCGGCGTGGCTCACAGGCAGGGTCAGAGGGCACAGGGAGAGAGGCTGTTGCCCGTCTCAGAATGCCTTCCCGCCCCTCTTGGACGGTTTTTGGTAATATGTGTGGCTTCCCTTAAGGACCAGGGTGAGCTGCTCAGAGCGGCTCCTGCCCCACAAGGAACCAGCTGTCTTCCCGGGGAGCCGGCGTCCAGGAGGGGTCCTTGGCGTTCTCAGCAAACGAGGAGACACTGTTGGGATAAAGGACCCGACTTCCCAACAGAGCACTGTCTTCCGTGTTGTGGAGAAGCCACGAGGTCTCACCCTTGTCATTTCCGAGAACATTGGCTCTGCCCCACGGTTTAGAGCCTGAGGACGGCATCTTGTTCGCCAGACACTAACCTCCCCTTTCACAATTGTTTTGCAGCACATGCTGACCGATACAGAAGTGTCGTCCCAGGAGGGCTGCATCCAAAAGGTAGGAGAGCTGGTCCCACACCTTCTCCCTCGCCGTGGCCCGCGTGCGGTCCTGAGCTAGCGTGCGCGTGGCCAGGTCCATGGCACGGCCCGCCGTTGGTGAGCGATGCGTTGTGTGTGGTGGAGCGCGCGCACAGGACAGGGGTTCTGATGACGTTAGGACGGATGCTGGTTTGCAGTGTGTCAGCAGGTAGGGGGTCACTGCCCTGAACCAACCCTAACTCCTGAGAACGGGGAGAGTCTCCCCCGTGGGAATGCTCAGGCCACGCAGACGCAGGAAAATTAAATAAACACAGGTCATGTTTGTTTAACCATCTCCACTGGATACTCACATGAAAAGAATACGGAGAGCGGGGGGAAAACCACAATTGGCTGCAAATTCCACAAAGCCCGAGCTGTACTCAGCCTCCAAAGAGGGCTCGGGCGGGGCGTGAATAAGCAGCCGATCAGGTGAAAGGAAAAGTGTCCACGTGGGCGTTGTCTCCTGCCCTCCTGGCGGGTGACGGAGACTCGCAAACATTAGCTGTACAAGATCCAGAAAGTAAACTAGGCCCCGAAGAAAAACCCAATAAACGGAGGGGCCCAGAAGCGGTTCGTCAGCGCTCAGCGCCCACCCGGTCCGGGCACCCACGCACACGCACAAACGCAGGGCACACGCACACCCACGCTCAGCACAGTAGCTGAACCCCTCTTTGGCATTTCCATAGAATTAGGACAGTGCTATCTCTTGTGCTCGCCTCAAAGCAACTCCCAGGCGAGGCAGAGAGGGGCACCTGCCGAGGATGCCCAGATGGTGTCCCGATGCCTGGGCCCTGGGTTGGCTCCCTTTCAGCATCGCGGGATGTATGCTTGCAGGGACGGTCAGCCTCTGCTGGGGGAGCCCGAGGTGCATCTCAGGTGTTCCCCGCGCCCGGCTTGATGGTCTGAGCTGAGGACTCTGGGCAGAGCGCTCTGTAAGGGGGGCACCTGCCCCTTCTCGCCAGGTCCAACCCCACAAATACTGATTTTGGAGAAAACCCTGTGAAGGGAGGCATTTTCTGACTCTGCAGGGACTTCCTGAAGGAGCTCTGGCTAGGGGTGATCTTTTAGCTCATTCTCGCCCATAACCCATGGTCTGCGTCTGGCCGGTGCCCGCCTGTCCCAGCCCCACTCCCAGGGCAGCCTGAAGCCTTTCTCCCTTAAAACATGACATCCCGGGGCGCCTGGGTGGCTCAGTTGGTTAAGCGGCTGCCTTCGGCTCAGGTCATGGTCCTGGAGTCCCGGGATTGAGTCCCGCATCGGGCTCCCTGCTCGGCAGGGAGTCTGCTTCTCCCTCTGACCCTCCCCCTCTCATGCTCTCTATCTCATTCTCTCTCAAAAGAAAAAAAAAAACAAAAACAAAAAAACATGACATCCCTCCCAACAGCCCCCTTTCCCTCCTCCTGCCTCTGGGAACAAACCCGGACTTCCCTAAAGGACGCAAGGTAGCAAGAGATTTCAAACAGCTTTCCCATATTTCAAAGAATCGAAGTCTTTCCTGTCCCCCCGAAAAAGGCCCCGCAGTCAAGTCCAGTGTCTTAACCTCTAGAGAGAACACGGAATCTTCATTTTTCTCACTATGAACAAGCAGATGAGCAGGTGACACGGGTGGGACTTGCCCCGACGGTGGGGTGAACTGGTGGGAGGTTAGAGGTGACATATTTATGGTGGGACGAGCAGTCGGTTGTCTGGTGTGGATACAAGGGTCGAGGCAGAAGCCAAAAAAGTTAATTCTAAATGTGAAGATGATGAGGAGGCGGGGCTGGATACTTTTGAGCCATGACGATATGCGCCCAGGGAGAACCCCAGTCAGCACGTCCACTCTGCTCCAGGAGCACCATGGCCCCTGATGTGCCTTTTCCTTTTCTAAACCGTCAGCCCATCGGGCCCTGGCTGACCTGGTCAGAGGGCTTTCCTGAGAGCTGCTCAGGGGATGGGTGGACGGTGCCACGCCGACAGAGACCCGCACACAATGCTTGGTGCAGGCATCCCCTCAAACACAAAGCCTTGTAAGGCCCGGCGGAGCGGTCTGAGGTTCCCTCTCTGCACAGAATCTGAACTGACCCGATGCCCATGGCAGCTGGACACTCAGGGGTCCCAGGCGCCAGAGCAAAGGGGGCCTTGGCGGCCGGCCGGCCATTTGGAAAGAGGCCTCCTGACTCCCAGCCCGGCACCTCTGCCTCCTACCACCCCGAAGGCCCCTGTTGCAGGGGGAGGCTGCAGGCCGCAAGGGGGCTCCTCCCACGTCCTCACGCACACCCCTCTCCACACCGAGAGGCCACCGCACAGCCCTCAGCCATCCACTGAATTCTGGGATTTTTCCAGCCTTGTGCGGAACTTAGACATTATCAGCATTTGGGGCATTCAGTGTGATGAGATGGGTGCCCAGGGTCAGATTAGTGGGATGATCAAAACCTAACAATGGTGCTTAGCTCTGGACCCATCGGGTGACGGTTCCATGCCCAGACAATCCGGGAGGGAGGGAGACAGGAGCGAAAATGCAAAGCCAAATGGGTTCATGCCCTGAGGCTGGAAAATGAGTAAATGTTCGTTTGACCTTCCTTCCAAAAAGCAGGTCCCACCTTACCAATGTCTGTGTTACTTACAGCTGTGGAGGTCTATGCGCGCACACACACACATTACAGGCTATGACCACACGTCTCGGCGTTCTGTTTTAAGGACACATTGAGTGAATTCCTTGGCAAGAGGATGTAGACCCCATTTATCAGTTTTGTGGTTTGGGGGTTTTGCGTCTGGCTGAACTGGGCCTCTCCTCCCCCACTCGTTTGGGAGCCTTACAATACCGTGGGCAATCGCGGGGGGGCTGTGGGTAGGTCACTTGACATCTCCAGCTCGTCATTCGGTCTTGAGGATGATGATACTTCCTGATCTTTATGTGCATCAGTGAAGTGCAACAAAAGGTAATTAATGCAATCAGTGGTTTGACAGAGTTGCAGAAAATGTGCTATTTTGCGGGGAAGTCCCGGTTATAAATTCTAAGCATTAGCGAGCCAGGTTGCTGGATGCGCCCGCGGAATCCCTCTGTCGGGGCGCAGACAGGAGACCAGGCCCCGGCCCAGGGAGGCGGGATTCGAACCCAGGCGCCGGCGGCTGGGCCTGCGGTGCAGGGCGGGGCTCCCCTGGGAGTGACAGCGGCCACAACCTGTGAGCCGCGCCAGGCTCGGCCCCGCCCCTCAGGTCCCGGGACCCGCATCCCCGGCGCGGTGCCCCTCGGTGGGGCGGGGGTCGCCTGCATCCCTCCGTCCCGACCCGCGTGCTGTGTCCCCCGCAGTCCCGCACCCCTCTCCGGCCCCTGCGCCCGCGTTCTTCCACCGCCCATGGCCCCCCGCACAGCCAGCGAGGCGCGCAGCCCAGAGCTTTGGTGCTGGTGAGATGGGGACCCGTGCTCTCCGCCGCCGCCCGGCGCCCTCACCATCCCTGCGCCATCCCTGCGCCATCCCTGCAACCGCCCCGGTGTGCGCTCTGGGCGCGGAGCCCCTGCTGCCCACGAAGTCACTTTGACTGCGGGTCTGCAGGTCGGGCTTCGTGGCCTCTTCCAGCGTCGGCGCCCGGACCTCTGGGACTGCTCCCTCCGACGGACTCTATTTCGTCTCTGTTTACTTAGAGGGAAAGCCCGGGGCTCCTGCAGAGCAAACATCTGCGGGAGATAATCTAGCGAGTTGTCCATCCATCACTCGGGTCGCCCGGCTCCCTGGAGAGTCCGCTGGAGCCTGTAATAAAAAGGCCCAACGAAGAGGCTTTGGGGACGAATAAAGAGCCGTGTTAAGGGCCCGCTGAAAATGGATGGAAGACATTATTAAGGCTCAATGGCCGTCTTATCAAAATCCAATAGGATAGACATTTGGCAAAAGGCTTAAATTTATTCTTTGACTTTCTGGAGGGCTTGAATTTATCCGTTAACAAGAGTGTAGTCCACCCGGGGAGATGGTATCAGCTAAAAGAATTTTGATTTAATCTCTCTGGTGATATGAAAAGGGGACACGCAAGCCCCCGGCCGCCTTCCCTTTGTCCCACTTTATCTTGTTTTCTTTGACCATCTTGAAAAGGAAGGACGTGTTAATACGGTACAACTGGGGGGAAAAGCAAACAAAAGGAAGTGACCTTTTCCTTTTTTTATTTTTATTTTTTCTTCTCCTCCCCTCCTCTGTCTGCCCCCACCCCGCCAAAACTCAGGGATTTGCATCAGTAGGGCTAGGACCGGAAGGAGAAAGGTGCCACCCAGCCGGCGCTCTGGGGGGCAGGGGGCCGAGGGGTGCACGGGGAGTCCGAAGGAAAGAAAGCTAATGAAGTCTGGTGCTGGAAGAGGGAGCCTGATGGCTCCATAAATCTCTCCCCCATCATTACATGCAAAATGCTACAGGTCATAAAAGCCATCCGATAGCCCAGCCTGGCACTGTCCACAGAGGGTGATTGATTGATAATCATTATAATTTGTGAAATGATTATTTGGATGTTAGGACCGTGGTCTGCACCAATGGGCTGTTGTGTGTGCGTGTGATCCGTAGCCTGGCCCCGGTGAGATGCCTCTGCTCATCGGGGTCCCTCCCGGGGTGGTGGGGGTGCTGGGTGCTGTGGCCAGGGAAGGCTGGCCAGGGAGTCCAGGAAGACAACTCTTCAAGCTGCAAGAAGGTGGGAGTGGAGACCACAGGCAGCTGCTAAGTGTGTTCTGTGCCCGCACACCCCGAGGTTAAGCCAGGCTGTGACTCTGGCATTTGGCGGGCCTGGGTCCTGGCCTGGCCGGGCCGTGGAAGTTCAGCACAGCGCCGCATAGCCAGGTCCTGCTGTGCAGTGCTGCATTCTGGAGTCTGTGGTTCTGGTGTTGCCCTGGAGGTGGCTGGGGGCCCCGGGGAGGGTGGTGGAGGGACAACCGATGTGGCTGGACCTCTTAAGAAGGGGAGGTCCAAAAATGCAGAAGCCCCAGCAAGAAGTGCTGGTGGGCACACGCGGGGTTCCCGCTGGTCT